TAAAAATAATTAATAACCTATATACTCGTCAGAGGTTCTTACATAAAGTAGTTCGCGTCTTTCACATAGTGAAAACACGATCGATCCGCTATAAGTACGTGCTTAAGATGCTTAAGAGGTGACCACAACCTCTTCAAATCGCATGCTGTGCGCGCAATGGATCTTTAACTTGTTAATTCCCTTCGAGCCAATAGCAAACGGAGACGTCCGTTTCTCAAAAGGAGTCCACAGACCCTCTAATTTGGTCTTTCCGCAGCCCCACCCCCTTGCATTTTGGCTCGCTCAAATCCCACCCGCCGTGTAACTATTTTTGCCGTAATAGACATATTTGGTGTTAAGTAATTCATTATCCATTCATTGAGTACTCCAGATGTTACAGTGGCATGTAGTTCATATGATAGAGTAATTCTTTACCTGTTTTTTACCTTCCAACGGACCAACGACGGCTTCCGTTCCTTGCCACTTTTCACTAGTGTGTCAGCAGTCATTAACAATAATCATTGTTTTGATTTCACTCAGGTCGCACGACACGAAACCCTGACACTCTTCCATCATGGCCGAAGGTGTTGCCATAACAACGGTTTTCTCCATCCTGGTCATGATAGATCTGGTGGGAAACTCTTTGGTTTGTCTGGTCATAACGATTAATCGAGATATGAGGTATTTTCACACGATTCACACGAGGCTCCTTAGCCTTCTTAGTCTGTTCCACTTTGTGCTTAAATGTGGCATGCACATCTTCCCATTTACCCGTCGAGGAACCCAAACATGTTTAAAATTAAGGCATAAGATTGGTTCGTTTAGTTCCATGAGCAACCTAAAGAGCTAGCAAAAATTCGGTTCTGAAAAAGATAATATATATGGATTTAGCCAAGTCCAAAAGCGGAGCCCCCGATTACAAGAAGTTAACCTGGGCTCAGGAGCCATAATCGGCGTTTTGATCATAAATAGGGTATGGGTTTTGCACTCTAGTCTTGAATTGGGTAGTTTTTTTAGAAGCTACTTTTTCATCATTATCGATAAGACCATCATCAAAAGCCCTTCATAAATTATGTTAAGATAACAATGCCAGGGTATCGAATTTTTGGTCAGGCCATAATGGAGTGGGGAAAATCGCAGATTTTGGTCATAAATAGGGTAAGGGGTTTGGGAAGCGGGCCGTACACCCCCACCCAATTTTTCTAGGAGTCCCCCCGGGGGGGGGGGTGAAGTATGACCGAAATGTTGCGCGACTTCGTCTTCGTCGCGCGTACGCGTCCACGAGCAATACAGCAAGTCATGATGATCATGAGAAAAGTACTAGTTCATGGGTTTCTATGAGCATGGTGCCCCGCTTGGCGGCCCTTCGAGTCGCCGGAGCTCCGCTATGAGTATGGTGCCCCGCTTGACGGCCCTTCGAGTCGCCGGAGCTCCGCTATGAGTATGGTGCTCCGCTTGGCGGCACTTCGGGGCCGTTTGAACCATGCAGATGTTCAGTTTTCAAAACGAAAGAGAACAAACGTAAGAAAAATAAAATAAGACGTCCAGTTACCTCCACACTTAGCGAGTTATTAATATCTCTTGTAATTCAACAGGATTCCCATCAATTATCTTCTCCTCAACCTGGCTCTAGCAGATATTCTTTTTGCGGTGTTCAACGTCCCACACATATTGAACAAGCTTGCACACATACACCATCCAGACGGCGTGATTGGTACAGTGTTATGTAAATTGGTAACAGATGGGCAGATTGCCAGCGTTGGAGCAGTCTCTTCGTTTGTCACCTTGGCTGCAATCGCTTTTGAGCGATATTATGCAGTAGTATATCCTTTTGGCGACAAAGGGAAACTGACCACGCGAAAACTGAAGGTGATACTGGCTCATTTCTTTCTGTTATAAATAATGATTAGAGAGTTAATTTGATTTATTGAAATGATCTTGGGTAACCGGGTAATCCAGGACGCCCTATTGTTTCATCTAATAGCCATCCCACTGAACGCATATCCCACTTCGTTGACTACCACCTTCAACCTTTAGTTCATAAACTGCCTTCCTTTGTTAAAGACACTAACGACTTCCTTAACAAACTCCTTACCATCGGTAATTTACCCGCTAATTCCTTACTAGTTACACTTGATGTTTCATCATTATATACTAATATCCCACATAATGAAGGTATTAACGCTTGTGAGCATTTTTTACGTACTTCCTCTCACAATACCATTCCTACTGGCACACTCTGTGACCTCGTTCGCATGATTCTCACCATGAATAATTTCTCATTTAATGATAACCACTATCTTCAAATCCATGGCACCACCATGGGTACTAAAATGGACCCCTCTTATGCTAACCTTTTTCTAGGTTATTTCGAAGCCAACGCTTTGGAAAATGCCCCGTTTCAACCCCACACTTGGCTACGATATATCGATGATATTTTTACGATCTGGACCGAAGGTCCAGACAACCTAAAAATTTTCATCGATTATCTTAACAACATTCACTCCACCATTAAATTCACCAGTTCACACTCTTCTACTAA